TATTTGGAGGTTAGATTACTTGAATATGGGGGAGCAGGCTATCCACCTAATGGAAGAGATGACTTTCTAAGGAAAACTAGCTTCACTAACTAGCCCACAGGAAAAACCACGAAAAACACTTATGCAGTCAGCCCGTAATAATAGTAATTCAAGCTGGGTTTGAACTCATGTCGAATTACTAGTACTCAGCGATCTTAGCTACTGGCAATTAATGAGGCGTGGATCAGAAGGATACTAAACTTTATAATATAAAACTTGTATAATAGCATGCATCAACAAAATGTAAAAGTTGCACGTTCTTGTAAGTTAAGATAGATAAAATTTTGAGGGACTATATTAATACTACATATTCAAAATAAATAATTATAGTGGCACGTTATGGATATTTATGCTTCCTACACCTACTGTACTTTGTGACTTTGTTTTTATCATTATTGATGATATTAATGCAACTTTTAGTATAGTTTTATAAAAGTTTAACAGTCACTTAACAATTTGTTGTTGTCACTAATCTCCCTTGTATGATAAGTCCACGAATTTTGATGAAGAACACCCCGGAGGAGGGACGGTCAAATGGTCTCCAGCTCTTCTTCTCCAAGCACTAAATCCCACGAGAGGACCTTTAGCTCGCCATATATTTAGAGTGCCTCCATGCCGCAAAGATAATATACATTTACCACATCCATACCTTCTCCGAGATTCGAACCCGAGCCCTTCGGTACTGTAGCCAGAGTCATTAACCACTATCCCGTTGAGCGGCGCTTAACAATCTTTTTATCATTATTGATCTTTTTTTTTTTATCATTGATAGATCTTTTAGGATAATTTTATATTTAATTGGTTCAATAGTTACTTACTAGTTTACTTTCGGTTGCATTTTTATACGAATAACTAAAATTGTACACTACCGTATTGAGCTAATAAAATTGGAAATATCATTTACTAATTTAATATAGACATTATGAGGAATACTTGGAAGAGAAAATTTATGAAGTGTATACTAATATGTAATGAATATTTGCAAGTGTTATCATTAAAACACTTCAATAAACTTTTCTGCTTTGATTTAAGTGTAGAAAAGTATAATTAAACTCTGACACCTGAAGGCTTGTAGGCATTTCCCCGTTTATGCTCTCGTGATGCAAGTGGGTTAGGACATTATCTATGTCCAACTAGCAACTGGAAGATACATAGCTCGAATCCCTGAGAAAATAATTAAAGTATAGGATCAAATTTCTAATGCTAGAAAGGTACTAATCTAAATTTTAACATAGATACAAAGTAGTTCTAAATTGGCCTATAATCTTCTTAATATATTCAGTTTAAATATTTTTAATATGCAAAACCTAAATAATGATGAATTATGAATGGACAGAAAAAAGATATTTTTAATCAATAACTTTTGAAAATATGAGGATAAATTTTAAATATTATTGTAATTTACATAGAATCAGATATATTCATTGTTTTTTTAGTTCACAATCTTCAAAATTTACCCTACAGTAAATGATATTAAATATAGAAATTCTATTTTGCAGTAGTTATGGTTAGTGATATGTATAGACGAATTTATACAGCTTGCTTTTTCAAACAATCACATAAGCTCCGTCAGAAAAATGCCAGGCTATATTTTAATTCCAAAGTGCTTAAAAATCAAAATAGGCGCAAATGAAAAACTTTTATTGGATATAAAAATCGCATGCATAACATATAATTTATTATCTGTCTGTGTAACATGAGTGTAAAAGTATTTCATGGAATCGATATTCCCATCACTTCCAAGATTCGCTGTCATGAGATTTCTTGAAGCTAGAGACCAAGATGCAGCTGAAATTCATCGCAGACTGCATAATGTCTATAAAAGAAATTCTCCAATGATAACGCTGCGCCCAAATAGTACCGGAAGTTCAAGAACGATAAATGCCTTATCTCTGTGATGAGATAGGTCGAGGGAAAAAGTCGATCGCGTCTAATGATTCTTCTCAAATTTTGGAATGAACTGGTTCAAAAGCGAAGCGGTTAACTTGTGCGACAAACGCAGAGAATAACTGGTGACTCATATGACAAATGTCTCAAACAGGAAAGAGAAATATCGTTGTCTTGAAAGAACATTCCAATTAATCAAATTTTTGTACACATAATTTTTTTTCTTCATTTTCTGTTTTATTTACAAACTCTTTAGAATATAATAAAAAATAGCTCGCATAACTGTATAATATCACGCATAAAAAGTATGCTAGATATTATTTTATGTTCTCACTTCTTATCTGGCAAAATAGATGAAGAGTAAATACCTTTATTGGATTAAAGCATATATTCTTATTGATCAATAAAATGCATACTTAGTGACTCAGTACTTTTATAAATATTCAGAACCGATATTAGAATTTTTTTATATTAATTGAAAGGGTGTATTAGATCTCTATCTGGGAAACGGCTTTATTGTACCAAAAATTATATTAAATGTAGTATCAGTATGTAGAATATACTCGCATAACTAGAATAGATTTGTTTAGCCGTTAATTGGGGGAAAGGGAGAGTACGAAATTTAACAACATTTTGCATATTTGAAATTTTTCCAATTGGTGAGCGAAATGAAAATTCTTTTAATACAGATTTTTATCTCGTAATTTGTTAGAATGCAAAAAGTACACAGTTGTATTTTCTCACATTAACACGTTGAGCGCGGCGTCGGCAGTGAACTTTCCGTGTGGCCGGTGTCGGTCCCTGAGGACCGGCACTGGAATTTTCGTTTGGCTGGCGTCGGTCCGCGGGACCAACAGTATTAAAGTTAAAAAAATAAATATAGTCTCAATGAAATGTGATCAAATTTAGATTAAATTAGTTTGAAACATTCTAAACAAAAATACGGCTTAGCTCGCTGCCGGCTGAACGGAAAGGACAGCAAATTTGGCGCCTCGCTCAACGTGTTAATCTCCATAACATTTAATACAGGGGGGTCTTATATTTATTTCACTGTATTTAATACAAATGCTTAAGCACTTCGGAAATGAATATGCATATGAATTAGAAAAGGGTTTTCATTTTATTTTATTTTATAATTTTACTGCGCAGCCATCCGTGCTCTGCGTACTTTATCTCTCCAACAGACTTAAAAGACTTGCTTCCCATCAGAGCTTGATTAACCATTAAGCAAAATAAGTACGTCTTTAGGGCATCAAAGAAAGGCGACACAACAAAATGGCACTTATAGACTTAAGAAAAGGGGTAATCACAAAAAGTTTTCATTGTTGGTTTTACCATGGAATGTATGGGGGAGCTAAACCAAGACCGAGAGAGAAAGCGTTGGAAAAAATAGGTATTGTATTATTGTAAATGAATGTGGGGACACCAAAATCTTTTAAATGATTAGGGCCTCTAAACGTCTTCATTCAGCTCTGCCTCCCATCATCTCTTTGCCTCTTTGAGCGGCTGCAATCATTTAAGAATTTTCAGTAGTTAAATGACACTAGAATGCTGGCATTAGCATTAGGATGCTGGCATTAGCTGGACATTAGGATATCGTAATTAGATACGTATATTCAGAAGTCCATGTCATTTCGGTTTGATTTTAGGAAGTAGGTAAGATTGAGGATCAGGATATCTTAAGATATATCTTTTGAACACACTTCTCCAAAATAGAAAGGACATAAGTATCCCGCAGACGATTATATAGGGAATACGTTAGGTTTTGGTGCGTATGTATGGCATCATGTCTTGCTCGATTCACTTTTCCGATTAGTCGACCCTGGTTTCATTTGTAGAAGCGGTTTCTTCTGGGAAAGCTACTCTCTTTTGCTTCAGAGCTACTAATGTTTCAGTAAGACATCAAAAGTCGTTCTTACAATTCTGCAGTCAGCTGACGTAGCACTCATTTTGCGGACACCTTATGGAAATATAGAACATCATATGGCGTGTTCATTAATGACTTAGATCAGCATGTGAGACTATTTGATTTACTTTTAAGCAGTGATTTTTCTGTCACGAAGACCTGAAATGCTCAAGCTCCTTGTGCTTCTATTCAGTGTACCAAAATCGGCCCCAGGAGAGTTTGCTATAGAATTAATCAATTTAGGAATATCTAGTCTAATCGCACACTTGCTACAATCAGTTATTAGTTACCATTCTCAAATTTCAATCGTCGAGGAATTTCAGTGGATTTCACAAATGTACTATTTCGAAACCGGATGACAGAACACTATTCCACTTAGGCGCGAGTTGCAGGTGCATCCGTTGTCTTGATAACACCGCTGCTCTTCCTTCTGAGTTTCTACGTGCATTCAGTCTGCTTTTCTTCAAATTAACCGCTGCTACTGTCAACTTGCAGGGTAAATTGGACGGAGTTTCGAGCTCTTATCGCCCTTTCTAAAAGTTTTCATGTAACTTCTAGAATTGCAGCTAACTGACAAAAGTATTTTCAGTGTAAATTTTTAATGGTGAATAAATTGTTAATAAAAACTACATCACAGTATAAAAAAAGTAACAAGATTGCCTCGTTAAAGGAAAAATGAATACATAAAACAGCGAAAGATAATTTCTTTTTAAATAAGCAGTTGAAAAGTGTAAAACACGAAGTTTTTCTACATAAAATTTCGTCTTCATTGTGAAATATTTTTTAATTCTATAAATACTGACGTCTTCAGTCTCATGCATTACGCTCACTCCTGTTTATTTTCATAACTAAAACAGAATATGAAATAAAGTAATTGTGACGAATTTTTTAAAAATTTATTTATGTACGACTTAGTAATCTTGAAATTAATGAAAATTTTTGGAGCGAAATTTTTCAAAGAGATCCAACTAGATAATTCACAACAAGAAATTATTTTCAAAATGCTTTGATGTAAAGAGACACTGTTACATTGTTACATACACAGAGTATGTGTATTTATATACACATACTTAGTATTTACATACACATACTTTCTTTCATTAAATCACTTTTACGGTCTGGGCAAGTCGTAATGTTAAAAAAAAAAAAAATCTTTCAAACAAGAAACTTCATTTTAAATAGTATAATATTTATTTTGGTGATATACCGCTTACATATATTTTCAAAATCCGGGAAAAAAATACAGATTCCAATCATGTGAAAATTTTAGTATAATTTTTCAAACAAAGAATCATTATTTAAACGTTAACCAAGTTCTTGGATTAATGAAAAGAATCTTCTTTATGTCATCATCAGAAAATCCTCGATTTAACATTTTCGGAATCACATTTAATAGTATATGTGAATACCCATGTCCTCCAAATTTTATCTGCAATATAAAAAAGAGTTTATTAGTATTTGAGAAAGAAATATCTTTGTAACACTTTTTCCAAAATTCTTACAAGTAAGTAAAAAATCATAGACATACATTTGGAACTGTGATCTATCTACTGAAAAGTCTCCACGAAGACATCCCTCCCCTTAAGCAGATAGCCCCAGCGTACTTGGCCATAATAAACTAAACCAGATCAAACCAAGGAACCTTTTAACCTTTCAAACTCGACTTTTATCTTAGGTTATCTTTCATGAAGTGATATTTCGTGAATTCCAAAGAAATCTGCAAAATGATATAAATATGTAGGAATGATGCAGACTTACACTAAAAGAGACAATTTTATGACAGTTATAACTAAAATTTACGGGCCATTATAGGGCCTTTTTCAAGTTTTCCTTAAAACCTTGTGCCATGTAATGCAGTACGTAGGACTCAATTAATAATGAAATTTTTCCTCATTTTGAAATTCCATCTCCTTTCCATTTTTAAACTTTTATAGACGGGAGTAAAATAATCATTTGAAAACATATTTTAGCTTACATGTTCATATCTAAAAAAGCTTACATCTTGCACAAAATCAGAAATAAAATATTCTTACGACTTCCTAAATCATCTTCCAGGGCAAAGAAAGTTTATGCTTGCAAGGGAAAGATGGCAACAAATTCATGTCTGTTGTATAAATCCTTTTATTTTAAACACTTATTTTTCAATAAAGAATTTTTTCGTTTTTTCATTTTCAGACACGTTTACTGTAAAATCGTCAAAATAAGCTCTTTACGGAATTCATCTTCTGCTTCTACTTCTGAAAGCTCTCTAAGTCATCAATGGTGGAGACCGTTTAGTTCATAAAAAGTAATATGTTTCTGTAGAATTCCAGGTGTATGAATTTTTTAATGGTCTATTAGTTTATATTTGAAATAAACTATGATAAAACTTAGAGATCTTCATAAACAATCCTACTGAGCTATCAATGTTTCTACTACGCTATACCCCCTATTACACTTCGTTAAATCCCCCATAGCTACTACGATATGGAGGATATTTTAACCCCATAAAACAAAATGTTAATTACAAAATTGCCGAAAATAGCATTGTAGATACATTAGATTTTTTTTGGACGCAGGAGTGATATGATATGGTCACTTTACTTAACCTGTTCCGCCAAACTGAGTTAATGGCACTACAGGGTTAGGAAGTTATCCTATTCATTGCTAGCAATCTGACGGTTAGGCCGCCTTTCTACATTTTACTTTAATCTGTAGTTTCTTGGATATAATTATTTTCATTCACTTGCTTCATTATCTCTAAGATGCCCTTGTTGCAGTAATAGTCCGTGAACAGTCTATTCACAGGATATGTGATGTAGTCTGAAGGAAAGAACTGCTGTCGAAGGTGCTCTGTCAGAGGGCAGGAGAGCAGGTAATGAAGTGCGTCCGCGTCTTCCCCGCGAAAACCGCAAGAACAGTTGACGTCCCGTCTGAGGAAACGTCTGTAATACGCTGGGAATTTCCCGTGGTTGGTACAGGCTTGGAGGAAGAGTCGGTTGCATTTCAGCCTCTTGAGAGAAGGTATTGGGAAGATGTTGTAAGTAAATCTTCCTGTTTCTTCTTCTTCCTGCCATCGTGATGACCATGTCTCTTGAAATGCTGTCTTGAGGAGCCTTTTTGCAACTTCTGCGGAAAGCGGAACTTCCTTGTCAATTTCTGGTTTGAGAGCTGCAGTCTTAGCTAGTTCATCCGCTCGTTCGTTGCCTTTCTGCCCGGTATGTCCTTTTATCCAGTTGATCTTTAAAGGTATGGAAGAGCCTAACGTCAAGAAGATCTCTCTAAGTGCTGCTGGTGTGCGGATGTTTTGGAGGAAAGGAATTCAGCGCATTCAGAACGCTCATGCTATCTGTGAAGAATGAAGTGTGAGCTGCTGGTTGTGTACCTAACCATAGTGCTGCTTCTTTGAGTGCTAGGGACTCGGCTTGGAAGACTGAAGCATGATCGCTTAGACGGAAATTGTGCTTGATAAATTTCTTCATTGTTCGAAAAGACCGTGAACGCTGCCCCTACTCGTCCTGAAATTTTTGAACCGTCAGAAAAAATCTCTCTTTGTTGTCCTGAGGGTGGCAATTTGCACCAGGAAAGGATGGGTAGATCTCCTGGGTGTAAGTTAGGGGAATCTTGGAAGCTTTCTATGCTGGCATATGATAGATGTAAATCTTTTTTAGTGTGAAGGTCCTCTTTGTAATGTAGAAGTCGATAGATTGATCTTTCTAATTCTGCTTTTAGGTCGAGTGGGAGCGTGTCAGCTAAGACCTGAAGTGCTGCGGTTGATGTGGTGCTATACGCACTGGTGATTTTTAACAGGATTACTCGCTGTATTTGATGTAGTTTTTGACATATTCTTGCTGTGCCATTCATCCAGACTGGGCAGCCGTAGAGGATCATGCGTTCAATTGCATTAAGGTATAGATGTTTTAACAGGCGCCCCTTTTGGCTCCACTTGTCTGTGATTATCCTGTTTAGTTTATTGATGGTTCGATGCGTCTTATCTCGGACTTCCGTAAGATGTGATACCCACGTGAGCTTCTTATCAAGCGTGAATCCGAGGTATTTAATGGTATTCTGGCGTCGCAATGGATGCCCTTCCCACTTTATGCGTGGTGGATTCGCGTCTATTTTTGAACTTTTTGGAAAGACTATCATCTGTGTCTTTTCAATACTGAAACACAGTTTGTTGTCTTGACTCCATTTTGCAAGCAATTTGAGTGCTGCGTCTGCTTTACGCTCTATTGTTGTCCTATTGCCTCCGTCTATTATGAGTATAATATCGTCGGCGTAAGCTTGTATCTTGGCATTGTCTCCAAAGTTGATGTTCAGCGCTGAGTCTGCAATTATGTTCCACAAGATGGGTCCGATATTAGACCCCTGTGGGGCTCCTTTGTGGTAATTCATCGTGATATTTAAGCCGTCTCTTTTGTAGGTCACTTGACGTTCTGTGAGGTAGCTTGCGATCAGTTGGTAAAGATTCTTTGGACATCGCAGGTCTTTTAGTTTTGTTTTGAGCGCTGGCCACCATAGTTTATTGAATGCGGAAGCTACGTCAAGCGATATTATACACGTATGGAGGTTATTTTGTCTGTTATTTAAGATGATGTCTTGAACACGGTTGAGGGCGTCGGTGGTGCTCCGCCCTTTAGTAAACCCGAATTGGGCGGGTTTAGTAGTTTGTTTTTGACCAGGTAATACGTTAATCTCTGCGTAATCATCTTGTCAAGGACTTTGCCCCACGCTGAGAGTAAGCAGATAGGTCTGTAAGAACTGGGCATGGACTTTGGTTTTCCCCTCTTTCTGGAACAATACTAGCTCTGCGTTTTTCCATTCCTTTGGAAAATAACCTAATTCAAGGCACTTGTTAAAGAGTGCTAGAATTTGTTTGTCGTCCGCGAGCCTAAGCTCTTCAATGGTTTCAATCGTGAGGCCATCCAGCCCAGGAGCTTTACCTCGGCGTGTTGAGTTTATCGTACGTTGTATTTCTTCGAGTGTGAACGACTGATCGTCTTCCGAGTTTGGAATCTCGGTTGATTGGGAACGAATATCTGCATGGTATGTAGAGTCCTCGTTGGGGTCGTCTTCTGGAAAATGGAACCTCATGATTTCTCTAATTGTATCCTCAATTGTGCTCGTCATTGTGCCATCTTCTTTTTGAACTGAACCTATCTGTAATGGATCCATGCTCTTCCCTTTAGCTAGATCGAAGTATGTTCCGAACGGAGAGCTAACAGTGATTTTGTTCCATGTCATGTCCCATGCTTTTTTCTTTTCTTTATACATCTTTTGCCGGTACTGTGCACGTACCCTCTGGTAAAGCAGCCTGTTATGGGTCCTTTCCTCTCCAGTTGTTTTTTGGAATCTTTTCCTTGTTGCTCTGACCTTTTTCCTGAGAATAGTGAGATCTTTTGTCCACCATGGACAGGTGCGCGATCTTGGTTTCGAGTTATGTGAGAGAACTGTTCTTTGATAGATCTCGTGAAGACTAGTGGTAACTTCTCTTACATATTTATCGATTTCTTCGATAGTTGTCAGATTTCTAGGGTCTGCTAAAGATTTTGAGATATACCTTTTGAAACTTAGCCAGTCGGTATGTCGTACATTGATTTTCGATCTTCTCCATGTTGGGTAATGAATGCTGGAGACGTCAAAATAGATATTATTATGATCGCTATTGTTTGCTTCGTCCGTTACCTTCCAATTATCGATCCGGATTCTGTCTCTACTTATGATAAGTGTGAGGTCAATCCAGCTGTTACCACTTACTCCTGCGAAGGTTGGCGTATCCCCTATTTCATTGACTATCGATAGTCCAGTGCTGGCAATGAATTCGCATACTTTGAGGCCTCGTGTGTCCGTATTATGTGAGCCCCATAGGGGACTTTTGGCATTGAAATCTCCGGTAATTATTGTAGTCATGTTGTTATTGTCCTGCATAAACCTTTCTAGGGTTGTCAGGATTGGTGCAATATCTCGCGATGGAGGACAGTATACCGTGATTAGTATAAATCTTGAGTCACTGCCTATTGCAAGTGCTATAATCTCCGGAGAGCTGAAAAGTTCCAGAACTTGGAGATTTGAGTCCGCTATAATCACTGCAGTTATTGCGTCTGTTCGAGAGTAGAACTTCCTATATTTTGTGGGGAATCCGTACAGTTTGTTCTGTACTGTGTACGGTTCCTGGATACATGCTACTTTGAGTTTGTCGTTTTGTTCAAAATTTATCTTTAAGTTTTCTGTTGCACTCCTGGAGTGCTTAAGATTAATCTGGATTATTTGGATACTATCCATAATTTGTTCGTTGTTTTAATCTTTCGAGCTCTTTTAGGTAGCATGGGCATTTCTTATCTCGGCTATCATGTTGGGCATCGAGGCCTGTATTATATCGTTTATTCACCTTTGTGCAGTTGACACAGCTGACTGTTTTTTTGGTCACAATTGGTCTTCTCGTGATGTGTGGAGCCGCATCCGGCACAGACTTTATCTTCCTTGCAATATTTCGCTGGGTGGTTATACCCAAGGCATTTGACACATTGCGAAACCTTTATAAACTCCCTTACGTTATATCTTGACCAATTGTATGTTCAACTTCTTCGTTTTCATAAGGATCTTGAAAGCTACTGGGTCTATAGATAGAACCCAGTGCTGTCCAAAGCGGGCCTTCATGGCGAACAGAATCCTCTAATTCACTTTCTGCTAGGTCGGTGTTCTGTATTTTAATGAAGTTTACTATCTCGTCTTTATTAATGTTCTCGTTGACATTGTAGACTATTATTCTGGGGTTTCTTTTTTGTGGATGTTTCGTCTCCACTTCGTCCTTCAGCTTCCGATTTTCATTTATGGCCTCTTCAAGTATTGCCAGTTCTTCCTTTTTCGTAACTTCTACTAGGAGCCCTCCTTTGTTGACTCTCTTTATATTCTTGACGCCTACTTTGAGTTTTCCTGGATCTATGTACTTCACCAGCTTCTCCTTTACCTCGTCGGATGTACTACCCTCAGTCTTAGGATAGATTAGTAATACATGCTCTGTCTCTTGCCGTGATCTTGATTGTGATCGTCTAGATCTAGAACTACTTCTGGTGGCCGTCGAGATCTTGCAACTTCTGCAAAAAGACAGCTTTTGAGTGGCGACTATTCCTTGGATGTATGTCTCTATATTCTTAGAGTGATGAAAAATGAGCAACGCCTTCGCCGGGAATCTGACCACGGACCTCTGGAATACGCGCCCAGCGTGCAGACCACTACACCACGAAGGCACGCCAAGAAGGCGGGAGAAATACATTACTATAGTATTTATCTCCTATTCCTATAATGAAGAACTAAAGGACACCATGGGGAACTCTTAAAACCAAAAAGGTAGAGATCGGCAATACGTCATTGAAAAAAATTATTCAATTCCTCATTGCTGAGTATCATCGCATAGTCAATTTACTTATTAATTCGAAAATATCTTTATCTTTATTTATCTCTATGGAAAATGTCTTTATTTTATTATCTTTTATATTTTCAATTTTAGAAAACTTATTAATTACTTTCACACATATTAATTTAAGCATGAAAAGTGAATTTAATGCAGAATATGTTCAATGTATCTATCATTATGACTCAAAACCTCTTGCAAGCGAACCTTGGCATTTTTCGTCGATTTTTTTCTTGCTTTCACAGATTATGTCAGAAATTGTGGAACCACTGGTTTACAGTTTCTGACACAGTCTATGAATGGTCTATTTACAAGAAGCCAATTTTGTGTTATATTGTGCATGGAAATGTCTTTGTGTCACCACCAAACTCTTCATTTCTTCAAAAAGCATTACAGCTTTCAAGAATTGTTCAACACTGAACCGGTCGTTATCCACTATCTTGCAAATTGCACTTTTGCATCAAGTTAGATTCCGATATTGATTTCTCCTGACACTACTGGACTCTTCATGAACAAAAGCACCAGAATGCACGTTTTTACCATTAAGTACACAATATGAAACATTTTATGGATGACTGAATGTTCTGACATTTTCTGATCCACCCTGTAGCTTCTCATTATTAAATCACTGAGAGCTCTTAACGGCATAAAATCAAAGAATTCTGTTCAAACTTTTGGTAAGCAGTCAGTATTTTAATGGAAGCAAGTAACCATCACCCCTAATTATCATTGAACGGTTTCAGAGGGATTTATTGAAAAAATTAAGTCCTAAGATTTCGTAAACATAGTGCGCATAGTTCTAGTGTTCAATATAAGAAAATGGTTTACTTACAAGTCTGTGCTTTGTGTGTATGTCATGACTGATAACGATTTTGTCTCCATATCCTTCTTTAATTAAGTATTTCAGGCCAGATATTCTTTGGGCATCACTTGGCATATCTACATCTTCATTATGCTGATAATGCGACACTTCTATACCAAATAAATCAAATTCACAGTAGGTACCCAATGATGCAAAATCTCCAAGATCTTCATTTGTAAAAAGAGTACCTATACACAAACGGGGGAAAAGGAATTTAAGTCATATTATTGAATATATAAAATAAAAATTTGTAATGAAATTTCAGAATTTAGACATAAATGCTAATTAAATAAATGGTACGTTAAAAGCAATGTTTGAGGACCTAAAGCAGTATGAATAATGAATCAGATTTCCTTTTCAACCAACTTTGTTGTATAGCACATCTGTAAATTCTAAGATTCCACATATATGAACACATCTAACTTAAAAAAACTATGGGAATTCCAAAACAAACGTTAATGCTAAATTACTTCAGTGAATGACATTCTTATTCTGTTAAAAAATGACACTTGAATTTTTCATTGCAATTTAAGCTGTTAGCTTTAAAAACAGCTTGTTTGGTGCATGTGCAGATGTATTTTTCCCAAGCAGAACGAATTTTTATGAATGAGCATTACTTGGCAATACAATAATTTTAATTGAGATGTCGTCTTTCTCACACTTTTTGTTGGTGGTCGCAGCACAGTTTTCCCTGACTTCGTCCATTTTTTTCTGAATACAGAAAAGACGGGTGGCCACTTAATGACTTGTAAGGGTTTACTTTAATTTATAATAATATTAATTATAATAATATTATATTATAATAATTATTTTTGAATAAGCTGTCCCTTATTTCCTTATTTCTCGCCTACAATTCCCTGCCAGAATACGTTTTCAGGATCGCGTTTCATGCAAATGAGGTACAACCAGTATTTAAAGGGAAGTCACGGTCACTTCAATAGAGAAGAGCTTAGAAGATTTTGCATAAACTGCTTCTGGCATTTCAAGTGATACATAACTTTAAGAGTATACGGGTGTAATCCATTCAAACAATTTGACATTAATATTTTTTTGAAATTTCTACAATTTTTGAAAGTTTGATGAGCGCGACATTTGGACCACCTTGTATATCATTTCCGTAAATTCTAAGATTCAGGTATGTGAGCAATTTGCGCCTTTGATCCTGTAAGTATGTCAAGTGTAACAAAGAATGTAGTAGAATGATTATTTTTTTAGTCAGCTACAAGAAAAGAAGTGGAAAGAATATTTTTCATTCAGCATAGTCAAGACACTACTTCTGTTTAAAATATAGCTTAAAATTAATTATTTTAGAATTATAAACATCTATAACTTAACTGTGATTCGAATCAAACAGCTTTTGAGTTGAAACTGCGAAATGTTAACCACCCTATTTAGATTCTTGATTGTTTGTTAGTTCTTTAACACTCAGTCAATAAGCTATTTCACAGCTTTTAATTAAAGCACAAACACGATTAAATAAAATTAGCCTTTTTTAAAACATTAGATGGTTAAAAAAGTGAAAACTCGATAAATTAATAATTAAATGGGTTGATAACAGACGACGATACAAAGTAGTAGATATTTAGACCAATACTTTTGGAAGTCGGCCAGACGGTAATAGTAATACGGTAATAATAATTTCAAAGGTAATAGTGGTTAGGGGAGCCTATTGCGATACCGAAGGGTCCGAGTTCGAATCCTGGAGAAGGCATGGATGTTCGTAAATGTATAGTCTCTTTGCGGCATGGGGCACTCTAAATATGCGGCGAGCCGAAAGTCCTCTCGAGAGCTTGGTTAAAGGGGGAAGAGGGGTGGGAGACCCTCGGACCCGTCACCCCTTGAGGGCGGAACTGAGAGAAGTCGTAATGTAACCTGTATGGTGTTCAAGGCTCTTTCAAACGACAGGTGCAATCTTGCCGTCCTTGCCACGATGAATTTCGCCGTTTATTCTCATGTTACTATCAGACAAATGAGATAAGACACAACAACAATACTTTTGGAATTTTTTTAGAGAGCGGACACTTGCTTATTACGCAATAACCAGGAATGACTGACCACATCGATCGTTTAAACGTCTCATCACCGTGAAAGTTGCCTAGAACACATCGTAGATGGTGTATGATATTACGCCCAAGAGGCGAAGGAATACACCACAGTTATAGCCAGTCTTAGGTGAGTATCAAATTATCATTCTTGCTTTCGGATTAGCACTCAGCCTCCTGTAACTGTCCACGATGGTCAAACGTTTTGAAATAACATCACCTATCTTTAGCATACTATTATTGAGCTTCGTAATTATTATGGTTGTTGACATCATCACATTCCGCAGTCTTAATCAATGCTCACTTAAACACTGGTTCTTGCTGGTGCATTCTTTTCTTTGACTTTGAACAAGGTCTGGCGGAAATGTTTGGCGGCGCTTTTCTGTATAACTGATTGCAATAGAAAGCAATCTCTGTACAGGATTAAATTAAGAAAATATGAATTTCTAAGCACAAGGCTCTGTCAGAAGCCCTCAAGGCTGATTTTAATGTTTCTGCGACATAAAATATAATATGAGAATTTATAGGATGGTTTTGGGGCCCTAAAATCTAGGGCTTTAGTTAAGGGTCTGTGGGCACCTGCATTATCATTAGGTCCTTCCTTTATATTTTTAAAAATATTTGTAGAATTAGACGCACTTATGAACGGGGCACATTTATGAAGGCATCCCGTTGAACGAGACTGCTGCATAAGTATCTGTTATCGGTATGCGGAAAAACCAGTATTCGCCAAGATATAAACGTTCCCAAGGGTATGCCAGCATAAAATTGCTTTCATGAAGGCATGTATTTAACTCGAAAAAATTAATCTTCATAAGGTAACGACACCCTTATGTAAGTAGGATTTTTGTTTGCCTAATTAATGAAAGTAAGAAATTAAAATTCTACTTGCATAAGGGGACCCCGGTAAAAACGCACCGGTACTTTTGTGTCGAGGTAACCCTTGAGAAGGTTTACTTGATCTGTAACGAACCTTGGCCCGCTTTCAAAGAGTGCCGGAGCTCTAATGAAGACGTTCTGGTAAAAGCAGCAAAGTGATAACAAACACTTTTGAAGAAAATTTTAAGGCTACTAAAATCAAGATTATGAAAAAATTCTTTTACTTCGCTTGAACTGGATTTTAGGCAAAATTACAAATGAGGATAAATTAGTTTATCTTAAAGTGGCAAAACACTTGGTAAAGGAATGATTGAGGACTATTCTAAAAAACATTGGTTCCAATTTAAATTGCACAGAGCAAAATCATAAAAAAACTTATGCAACAGCTCAACAGTAAGAAATTTCAGCAGGAGTGAGATTCAATGTTATATGGTGGGCAAATATTAATTAGTGACTCAACCAACTGAAATGCGTTTTAAGAAGACAGCGGATGTCAGAGAAAGCTATAACAGATTAAGAGACGAAAAGAGTTTCAGAAAACGGTAATTTATGTGGCTAAAAGTTAGAGTTTCACTTTTGTGAGTGACTATTTAAAGAGATTTGAGTTCAAAAGCAAACTATTTTTTAAATGCTGTATTATAAGTGTCTTTATTTTAAACACTTGTAGAGACATTAGGATTTTTGGAAGCCGGCAAGGTGAAAAATTAGCAACCGCCTTCGCCAGAAGTCGAGCCATGGACCTCTGGAATACCGGCCCAGCGTGCAGAACCACTACACCACGAAAGCACACTAGGAAGGCAGAAGAAATACCTTATATACTCCACCTTTTAAAGAGCGTTTGGGGCTTTTAGAGGACCCAATCGCCAAATCCTGGGTGAGGAGAATCATCATCCAACAGCCTTTTAGTTCGGGCGCCACTGTAGAGACATTAGGATTTTTAGAAGCAGGCAAGATGAAAAATTAGCAACCGCCTTCGCCGGGAGTCGAACCACGGACCTCTGGAATACCGGCCCAGCGTGCAGAACCACTACACCACGGAGGCACACTAGGAAGGCGAGAGAAACACCTTATACACTATAGATTTTTGCTACAGAGCTTTTGACCTCCATTGAACCAAACCTTTTCTTCTTGCCAATCGAGGAGTAAAAATGGGGTTGTGGTTTTTATTGATATGTAACTTATAATGATGATTACGACACTTAAAATAAGTTGAGAAAATTACTATTGCAGAGAGAATTAGTTGGCCTAGTTTATCGTTAGAACATCAAATTTACGAAGTTCAGAAATAAATAAAGTTACTTGATTAATTATTTAATGAATTATATCAGAATATGAGCACTATTTAATAAAGGGCCAGGATGTCTGCGTTCTGAATCTTCTTAGGAAAATTGTCTTGTTTTCATGTTACACATAGAGAAACTATGAAAATTCATCCTCACTGTTCACTCTTCGGGAATTGAAAGCTCGACAAACTTCTAATTTTCGGGACTTTATCAGTCACTTTGGTACTGTTTAGCCTACGTAAAAAATTTCGACCTATCATCCTATCGTGTATAATCCTGAAAGAGCTTTAAAACAAAATTTTGTTGTGGGTAATTGATGGAGCAGTTATTTTATCATTATTATTTCTGATTAAAGAGGATAAATACTAATCTGTAGGTTTCTAAATTAATGCTACTTAATCTTTTTGGTGTTATATAAATAATGTAGATGGCAGAAATAGGCAGTTTTTAAGCCTCTACTAAAGAGGAATAAGACTGTTTTATATAAAAGCTCCATTTACTGAACATCAGCTTTTGATTTTGTCATTATAATTTAATTTTTTGAAAAAAAAAAAAAAAAAAAAACTTACGTTCAAGATGTGACATAACTGTTTGAAAAAGTTTTCCTCCAGCTTCCTGAAATATACGCACAATTTCTTCTGGAGCATGTTTATTTCTTCCAGGATGTATTATGACAGGGCAGCCAGTCTCTTCTTGTACAGCAGCAGAGGACATAAGGGAACGCTTTTCAAACTCTGAGAAGAAATGTAGTTTGGATTTAAAAGAAATTCAGAAAATGCAGGAACACATATAATAATTCTTATTAACTCCTTTGACTCCTATGATCATTACAGAAGCCGATGTTACCATCAAAGATTTGCTCAATGACTGGAAGCGAAACTCATCTAGACTCCGCCTACGTTACTTTCCAGAATTTGTCCGGTGATAAAATCGACATCGATGGAAAGTTAAAAATTACCATCACGTTTGGAAGTGCCGCTTATCATCCCACGGCTTAATTGCGACAGATGTTACACACCCTTGCATATTTGGATTAGACTTTCTAAGGAAATAAAATTTTTCCTTTAAAAATGATGAAATGCATTCTGCCTCTGAGAACATACCCTGTGAGGAATTGAAGATAAAAGAGTTAAATTTATACACAAAATAATAGCTCAAGACGGTTTTGTTTTGTTAGGGCGCAGCCCGGTCCACCTTGCAAAACAAAGTTTGCCCTATGACCATATGCGGGCTACGTCAGTAGCTCAAGACGGTACAGAAAAAGGTACAGAAAAAGGCGCAGCCCCCCATCCACCTAATCGATTTGATTTTATGACTTTTCCCATGGAGGTAGGAAAGGGATGAGGGGCCATTCCGCGCTAGAAGTGAAGCACTGCTTTGAAGCTTGGGTCACTTCCTTAATTAATTTAAAGCTTTAACAGCTACGACAATTCTGACGTATTCACTGCTCGACCAACAATTTATTCTCGATACGCATGCGAGCAATGAAAGTGTCGGTGCTGTTTTGTCCGAAGAAATAAACCGCTAAGAACGTGTCATGGCATACTGGAGCAAGTGTCTATCTAACCCAGAGAGGAAATACTCTGTAACCAGAAAAGAGTTGCTCGCCGTTAAAGCCGTAGAACATTTCCATCATTATTTCTACGGCAGAAAATTCCTCCTCCGCACAGATCATGCATCGTTGATCTGGCTATTAAATTTCAAGAATTCCGAAGGCCAAATAGTCAGATGGCTACAGAGACTCCAGGAAATTGATATCACTACCCGTCGTAGGAAAAGATCATCTTATGGAAACGCAGACGCCCTGTCTAGAAGATCCTGTCCAGAAAGCTGCTGATTTTATTTTAAGATCGAAGCGAATTCTCAGCTGATTTATTCGGTCGTATGTCAAGATACGCATTAAACGTCGTCTGACTCAGACCCATGGAGTGACGAAGAAGTCAGGAAAGACCAATTGGAAGACGAGGACAGTAAAGCCATAAGTACCCTAATGGAGTCTTCAAGTAGGAAACCTACCTGGCAGGGCGTTTCGGTTTATAGTCCTACAGCGAAACAATAATGGGTTCTCTGGAACTCATAGAAGTTTGAATCAAATGATGGGAAGGTATTTCGATTGCAGTTAAGACTTCCAAGATCCCGGATCCAGGGCATTCTTAAAGAATTACATAGAAGATCGAGAGGAGGCTATTTCGGAATTTTGAAGACTTTGCAGAGAGTTCAAGAGCCCTTCTACATGTGTAATGCAAATGCTGACTTGCAGAAGTGGTGCCCAAAGAAGCGCAGCGGAGAGAAACTGCAACATTACAATGAAGGATCTTTTGAAGTCCTGATACCTCTGCCCCGAACTGCTGATGGCTACAAATACATCCTCATTGCCATCGATAATTTCACCAAGTGGCTTTAAGCGCATCCTATTCCTGATAAAGAGGCTGTCGCGGTACCAGAAGTAATTATACAGCATTGGCTTTTCAGGTTCGGAATGCATCTTTAATTACCTTCAGATTAAGGAAGGAATTTTATCTCGGCTGTAATTAAAGAACTCTGTAAACTATTTGGCTTAGAGAAAACCCAAACTACATCTTTATATCCACTGTCAGAGGGCATGGGTTTAATCTAACCATCCTTAATAACCTCTCGCTGATGGTTTTCAGAAACCATCAGGACTGGGATCAGACGTTATCTCTGTTCTTGATGGCCTATCGCAGCGCTGTCCCCGAGACTACCGGTTATTCCCCATCCCAGATGCTCTCCGGTCATAACCTTCCTCTGTCGTGTGATCTGTTAATTGGTCGCGCTCCGGATGTGCCTGCATCGCCTGAAGAGTACTTTCCCCGTCATTTACAATTCTTTAATCTTGCACCAACAGATTTCTGGCTATAAAGATATCCGAAGTACAAAATGTAAACTACGAATCTGAAAAAAGTATTTGATTTATCCTTGAAACGTGTCATTCTGCAGATTCCTCGTGCTATATTAAATGTACCTGTTATGCTCACCATCTGTCACATGCAATATGTCATCGTGAAGGTAGCTATAGAGAATGTTTTTAATTCAGGTAAGATATTTTGCTACCTTGTCGCCTTCCTTTCCCGTTTTATCGTTCCCACTCCTCTCCTTTTTCAGTGCTCATGCGTAGGCGTTTCCCAAGCCATAGGTATCCTTCCAACGCCATTTATGATCTTTTTTACTGTGCCGATCACGCAGCAAAACGAAAAAGTAGTTGTCATTCGAAATTAGTTCGTTGCAACCGTAATTGTGACAGTTGCTGCTGTTAATCGCGCTCTCGAGCGCATAACTTGAAATCCCTACGTATCAAATTTCTTTTTGAGTCATTGAGCAGTGCGATCTTTGGTTGTCTGTGTATAGAAATTGTTTTATGACCACTCTGTACCTCAGTTGCCAATTTACTAATAATACTAGTCATAGTTAGATTTTAAGAACAGGAATCTGAAAGCCACGAATGTTCATGGAGATATCGAACTTTTACCAATAAATTTGGACTGTCAGGAATTTCAAAACTTATAGTATGTATCTCTTTTTATACAAACCATTATCATAAAATTCGTAAAAGTGTAACGAAGATTATTTTGCCTAGAAATAAAGTAAAAATTCCAGGAAAATGATTTGAGATGATTGATATAAAATTTTTTCAGTAGTAAAAACCTACATGATCACGTAACTTACCAGAAAGAGGCCAAGAACACCCCACTTCTCCAATTACACCACATTTGATGCCCGTGCCATCAACGCCTTTCAGTATATCGGTTCGTATTAAATCTTCCATATTTTCTTGGGTCATGTTCAGCGTGGATACGGACTGTGACTGAGTAACATAGAAGCCTAAAAAATTTAAGAAATAATAATACTTTAAAAAATAGATAAACTTAGGACAGAAATTATTTCACTATGAAGATAATTACGGTTGGATGGTAAGAAAAGTACAGAAGATTAAGGGTACCAAATGCAATGCATATGTAATCTAAGAATTCAAAATATTAAATACTTAACTACTTTTTTGCAGAAACTCCTATTCTGAAGGTCAAAACAAATATAAGTTTCTGTTGATAAAAATTAATTGCTTTGGAGAACGCATTCAGTTATTTAGCAGTTAGTTAATACAAAAGGTGCATGCAACTTGAATTTTAAAAAAACAAGTTAAAATTATTGTGGATTACAGATGAAAAACTGAATGCATTACGAAAGACAAATCTGATGACGTCTTTCGAAACACTGAGAGTGTCATTTGAAATCAGTGCCATTCTAAAGCAGAATTTTGCCCGCGTTTATTAACTAGCCAAAAGACTGATTTATTACACTTGACGAAATGACTAAACAAAGGTACACGTAAAAGTTTTGGTTAAGTGTAAGATTTCATGTGTATTTTAAGAGTATAACAAAATTATTTCTCGTCTTGATTTTAAACGAATTAAATAATAATAATAATAAATGAATTAAGTAAAGATGATAATATTGCATTGATAATATTGCATAATGTCTCTTAATTACCGAACATTTTACCAAAATTTGTTGCAAATCAATTTATTATATTCTAATTATTTATTTCTGCGATAAGCTAATAGTTACAGAAAAAAAAATTACTGTTCAATGAACTATTTTCTGTTTTAGTGAGTTGTTTACAACGTACAGAGCTCTGATACGCTCCTAAGATTTACTTTCTGACTTCCAGATAGTTATTTATTCAAGTTTATCCCAGATTTATACTACTGAAATAAAATTTAAGGTTTTTTTTATATTATATAGATATATTTACAGTTCTTTGAGTTCATTTTTTCTATAAATATAAAAAATTTTTGAGAAATATTTACATACACTTATAATTTTTTACGGTAAGTTAAAAGCGTTTTATATGATAATATCACGTTTTGCATTATTATTAACTTATCATTACAGTTATTATAATTAATGTAACTGTTTCATTTCCATGTTGGGGTGGGTGTGACTAGTCAGTAAAAGCGCTTCACTAGGAAATCAGAGCAGAGTGGATTGTTTGAAATAGAAAGAAATCAATGATAAAACTATTGAATAATATCGCTAATTTTTCCTCTTAAACACAACAAACTTTCTAATATACTTTAGAAAAATTATTTACCAGTTCCTGCAACAATATTTACGCCAGAAGCTTCTGATAAAGCTTTGAGAAATTTCGCTTGATCTTTGGATCTCAAGCCTACTGATCCATTATCGACGATGGTGCCGCCTCCACTTTGCTTGAAAAACTTCATTTCATCTTTAACTGCATTACGAACAGCTTCATCATTAAATTCGTTATTTTCATCAAAACAGTACCTATAAGAAAGCATTTAAAATGAATAGCTCTCTATATTTATATTTATATTTATATTTATATTTATATTTATATATATATATATTACCAATTTTCAAACGAAATTATATTAATTTATCCCAATAAATTTACTTAAGCTCAAAAATTGTGTTCTTTTGTTAGAGAGGCAATTGATTTTAAAGTAGGTAATTAAAGCTGTATTTCTTCTTTTCAGTCTTCTTTTCGTTTAGCAATTTAAGTGTGCATTTTGTACAGTCTCGCAATAAATTAGAATCGCAATAGAATTCCAGTTATTCAGAACTCTAAAAATTTTGAAACTTCAATTAACTGCTGGCTGTTCTTCCTCTGACAAGTGAAATGACAATTGCTGTTAAAATATTTTTCTTGATTAAATTGTATGAAAAGCTACGCACTTCAATGTATGCTTTTAAGTAGTTACTTAAGAAATTATGTCATTAAATTAATGGGTGCGATGTTTAGTTTGCCTTTAAAATATAGCAAATGAGTAGTTCTGTCAATGCATTTACATACTGCATCTATATATTTTACTTTCCTGCTTTTATTGCCTTGCCTTTCTGTCAATTAGCTAGAACAAGAGTTCTTTGACTAAACATTTACTAAGCAAAAAGGGAAATGTTATATAATTTCCTTCTCTATGGTTTTTGCCTTCATGACAAGCAACGTAACTGTGCTTAAGTTACTTTTGATATATGTGATATATGTCTTTTGATATATGTCTGCATCGCTTTTTGTACGTGAATTTTTTTTATTCCTGAGGATGGAATGTCATTTTTTGAGTCATTTTTTTTTGTCATTTTAAGTGTAATATTTTTATTTTCATAATTTTTATTAAGATATTGCAAACGAAGAAATGCCTTTCACTTGCATTATAGAAAATAACGTATTTGCTCTACAAAAAATATGATAAGTTCATTACCTAGATAAAGTATGAGCCCAATTTGAGCCCAGATATTTGTAGTTTCTGCAATAATTATAAATTAAATTTTTTGACAAAGAATTTCTCGTTTAAGACTATAAAATTAAAACTCTGAGAAATGGGATAAACTCTATTTTTGTAACGTGTTGTGTTCATGAACAAATTATCTTATTACTTTTTGCTTTTATTGTCACTTCTACTTTCGTAGGCTCCCATCAAGGTGCAAATTAGTTAATGTATGTAAGAGAAGTGTGCTACCCTGATCGATACAGTGGTTAACGAGCTGGAGGAGTAGTTAGGCCTGGAGGAGGCATTGATGTTTGTAAGTGTATCGTGTCTTTGTGGCGTGGGGCACTTATAATATACGGTGAACTAAAAGTCCTCTCGAGCGGTTTGATGGTAAGAGAAGAGAGGTAGGAGACCCTTGGGCCCCTTTTCCCGGAGGATTCTCCTTCTAAATTGGGACGAAAATGACAAAGTCGTACAATCACCTATAAGGTGCCCAAGGCCTATGCCTGTGAGAGACGCAGTCCTGTCCTCCTAGCGATGACAAAATTTTTGGAATTTTTCTGATGTTACAGTCAAACAAGTGAGATAAGTTACAACAAGAAGATATAAATTCTGGAAGTTAAGGTATGTCTTTTGGCAGTGAAAGTTGATCATCTCGATGGTTTCTCCCAACTCCTAAATTTACTTGAATTGGCTTTAGCCTTCTAGCCTTATTTTGCTGCAGTAAGGAAGAGGCTTTGGGCCAAATGTCATAGACATATTTTATCTTCTGAATCTTATATTTTAACATTTAAATTTGATTTTGATTTCTATTTGTATTAATCCGACAGGTTGCGGGAAAAGATTGTGTGAATTACTAATAAAAAGGTTTATTTTAAACATTTTTCTGCGCTCGGTGATACTTCAGTGAAAGATTATGGAAGATAAGTCGCCTAACTCTCTTCATAGAGCCAGAGTTAATATTTAATATAAGTTCCATACAACTTCAGTGTATATATGTGGAGAATCTAAGGTTTGTGAAAAGGTTTCATTTAAGAGTATTTAAGAACAAATGTGAGCTTTTCATTGAAACTGAATCAGTAATTTAATTCTAACTCTGTTTAAATCTGGACACAAAGACTAATTTTCTTGATTACCGATTACTGTTACAAGTGGAAATATATACATCTAAAACAATCGCTAAAATCTAACAGTTTTAAACAAATTGCTAACTGAAATTTTACTTCTTAAAGTTTAACCTTTCTAACATAAATGAATTTGAGAAAAAATCAAAGAAGTGAATTAACATCTCAGGAATTTAATTGATTTATTAAAACATATTACGTTAGCATATATTAACGAAATTTTATAATTTTAAGGTGGATTAAATTTGTGCTACTTTATATCTCGTATTTTACCTGAACCTGAACTTTTAACTCATATGCGTAATATCTGTTTTGCAAATTTTTCAGAGGAAATATAAAATTGTTGAAACAGGAATTGAAATTGGGCTCACTCAGATTATGTAACAGAAGTATAATCTGATGGGTGAATTCTCGAAGCAGTTTCCTTTTATTGGCTTTTTGCTCAGCCTAGAGTCATTATAGAAATTATCTCTTTCGACAAAAAATTTTGGCAAACCATTTATTTGCCCTATATCTCGTGTTTAAGTAACATTTTAAGAACTTATTTCATAGGTAACGTAGCATTAGAATGAAATATACAAAACAAGCTCCTAGCTGGCCAGCTATAGCTTAGCCAATTTCGGCACTTTACTGTATTTTTCTTATTTAACTATTTCATCGCGAATTTCCTCTCTTCATGAAAACATTTTTTTGTACTTTTTATTCTATTTCTAGATATTTTCTGATTAGCCGAAAGTTTTGTCTTTCAAGTTTGATGGTGAAAATACAGGCTTTCATTTCAGCGCCACTGTTTTTACTTCCTCTTTCATTTATGACGTATTTTCTCCATCCACAAATTTTAATCTGCTATGAAATAGGCAAACTAATCTTTCGAAAGAGTCGCAGGAAGTGACGTAACACTGAGCATCCTAACTTCCTTCTGCGAAACTATCTGCTTGATTAACGAGAATACCAAACAGACAGGCACCGGTAGGCGTTTCGCTTCCGGTGACGTATATCAGACGCAAAATTTGCATGATACGTTTGATTTACTAACAAACGTATTTCTCTTGGACAACGTCTTGGATGAAATGTCTAATTTCCTTACTCAAATAGCAAACGGCTATAAAGTAATACACTTGTTTGAAGTTCTGAGGGGGGTGTGACACGTTGCAATGCATATCGCACTCCTGTCGCAGCTTAAATCATACTGGCGACGTTTCAAATAAATTTTCGTTCCTTGTCAAACTTATCTTTCATATCATGTGACAAGAAACATTTAAGTGTACAGAAATGAGCCATCATCGTGATCGCGATTAAATAACAGTATGGCCCATTAAACATGTAGATGGAGTTTACACAGAGGAATGGTGTTTTCACTTCATTGTGAAAACACCATTAAACATGTAGATGGAGTTTACACAGAGGAATGGTGTTTTCACTTCACTGTGAAAACATTTTACGGTTGCTTGTTTTATTTAAGAACGAGAAAACTGTGTTTGGTTTAACATGAAGAGAAACGACCGGAGAAACAACTCCGAAAGTAGTTCTGGACCAAACACCATATCTTATATTTTTATTTGGTTGCTAGAAACTGATTTAGTTGACAGAAATCTAGTGTTTCCTAAAAGGTTTCGATTTCTACGGGATTTACCTTTCACACAAAAATTTTATTCGTAATTCCTCAACCAGTTCTTCTCGCAGTATTATATTATCAGCTATTTTCTGAATAAGAAAATAATAATCGATTACGCATATTCCAGCTCATTTTCTAATAAACGCTTAAGCTTTTTGATCAGAAATTATGATCTAATTTATGCTCTAAATTTATAATTTCAGAAATGAAAATGGTAAAACTTCTACTCCGTTTTGGATCAACATATGCTCACCATCAGAAGTGCTATATCTACAAGTGATTATATGTGCTTAACTGAAGAACTTGCTTGACAATAAAATTCATGACGGTTTCAATGGATCACGACCGTTGGCTTTCGCGTGTAAATGCATTTTCAAAAAAGTACTCTTACGATGAAATCGAAAAATATTTGTGAGGGAAAGAAGCAAAATAGTTGCAAGATTGTAGTCTAATTTGTTACTTAATTCAACATAGTAAACAGAATTTTTGCTCCAGGCTTAAACAACAAATGCTACAGAACAGATTGTGACTTACAGAACAGATTGTGACGCTGGATAACTCAACATTATGAAAAAGTTTTAAAAGTAATAAATATTTATAAAAATGTAACCTGTAATAAGCTATAAGGTACACGTAACACTGAAATAAATCCTCCCTTTTAGTCTAAACAAACTAAAACTTCACAAAAAACACAGAAACAAAGGATTTAACTGAAAACTCAACAGTTTTAAATAGCTTTTTTGTCTATTTAACTAGCAACCAATTCAGACAGATCCGAGGAACTTCCTTAATCCATTAACGTTCACTTTATTCCGAGAAAAATCTGTCCATAATAATGTTTTTTTTTAATTCTAATTCTTTTAAGGAAGCTAATTCAAATTTGAATGTTTCTTTCTTTGAAAATAAAATTGAGTATTTCTTTCTGTAGCAGTATTGGCAAGATTATAAAAGTGCTTAGCAGTTATCTGAGTAATAAATGTTCAAGTGAATATTAGCAGCACAAATATTATAGTCACACGGATCACACTTGGACTTGCGTGTTGAGCTGTTTGGTAAACAAAACTGTAAAATATGGCGTGATTGTAAACACATCAGAGGCAGAAATGCAGTTGATTGCGTCTCAATCTTTTTATAAGTAGTATTTTCTCACTATATCAGCTTTTGCGCTCAAATTCATTAAGTATTATTATTATTTTTGTTTATGAATTAATTTTCATCTCCAAGGTGGCAAGTATTGAAGAAGAAAGGAAAGGACAAATTTAAACCGAATATAAAAAAATATTAGTTTAGATAGTACCGATAACTTTACAAAACTAC